TTTTCTACTTCGGCGTTCACGGCATCTGCGCGATCCCGACCCAATTTTCTTCGCTTCTGCTTGATGGGTTTGAAAGATGGGTCAACGTTCAGCTCGTGGCAGATTACGTCGATGCTTACTCCAGGTAGATCTTCAGCCGACCAGGCGAAGGTGTTGATGTTCTCTTTGAGGAATGAGACGAGCTCGGTCTTGATTTCCTTGGTTAAGTCGCTGCCAATTTCCACGCATCGTTCGGGCCGTTCGTCGTCGAGACTAATGGAGATTACAGGGTCCGAGGTAGGCTTCTTCTCCTCGCGCGCCTCCTCGATCTGTAATTGCTATAACTGTTTAGATATAGCCTTCTCTTCACTTCGGCCAAGTTTTGATTTCTTGTGATCGGTTTCAGCCTTCTCCTCGGTGACAGGGTTTCGGAGTTTATGCGCTGCCATGTAACACATCCGTGAATTTTTCTGGCTGCCCCAGATTGTTTTCACGCCACTAGGGGTCGGGAACTTGACACAGAGGTGATAGGTCGATGCGACAGCTCGCATCAGATTTAGCCACGGCGTGCCCATTATAACGTTGTAGATGGTAGGTTGATCGGTGACTGAGAAGTTGACTACCTTTGTCACCCCGCCGGCTCGGACTGGTAATTGAATGGTTCCGAGCGTCATCAAAGTTTCCCCCGAAAATCCGAGGACAGGCCTCGGGGTCGGTGTTACCTGTGACATATCGATGTTCATTTGTCGGAGCGTTTCACGGAAAATCACGTCGATGGTGCTACCGGTGTCGACCAATATTCGGCAAACGTCATGATCTCCTATTGCTAACGTGATGACGAGGGGATCGTTGTGGGGCATGTCGAGCCCGTTCGTTTCACTTTCCTCGAATGTGACTATGTCGTTAGGTCGGTCGAAGGATCTCGTCCAGTTGCTAGGCGCCTCGGCTCGGCGTTGATACGCCTTGATTGCGGCTACGGTATCAGGACAGTACGGTGATCCACCCATTATGGTGAAGATTTTTTGCCGTGTATTATCTCGGTCTTCGTCTTGATTTTCCCGAGTTCTCTTCGGGGCATCCGTGTTCCTTGGCTCGGGGTCCCCTGCGGCGTTGGCCTGCTCGGGCTGATCCGGCTCCGGCTCTAGGTCCTTGAGTGTGACGTTCGTCCCGAGCTCTCCTGCTAAGAATTTCGTTGCTAATTTAGCGCCGAGGCTCCGGCATCGTGAGGTATGGTGGCCGAAGATTTTATGGTGCTCGCAGTACTCTTGATCGTTGCTCGGTGGCTGATCTCTTGTCCAAATGTAGGTTTCTCTTCCTCGCCCACGACCTCGGCCTCTGCCGCGGCCTCGGCCACGAGGAGTGTCGATCTGGTAGTTGTGAGCTCCCTTAAAATTGCGCCCTTCATGATGTGTATACGTCCCGCTCTCACGAGCTTTCTTCTGTACCGGAGGTGTTGCTTGAGTCTTCTCGGTTCGGGGCGTTTGCTTCGTCGGCTCGTGCCTCTTTGCTAGCAGTGCCATCTCTTCTTCATGGGCGACGAAGTCTGAGGCTCGGTGCAGCGCGTCGCGAATTGTCGTAGGTTTGGATAGGTTCAGCTCTTTTCTGAACTCGGACTTGTACCAGAGAGCTTTCTTCAGGGCCGAAAGGGCGGCTACATCCGTGATTCCTTCAACCTTGGCTAGCGTTGATTTGAAGGTCGTGAGGAAATCTCTTAGCGGCTTGGTGGGCTGTTGAGACAGAGACCACAGATCTGCGTCGGAGGTTCCGGGGTCGATGAGCACGGAGTATTGCTTGAGGAAGAGTGTTGACAGCTCGTCGAAACTGTCAATCGAGTTTCGTTCCAACCTTGAAAACCATTCTAATGCGGGTCCTTTGAGGTGCTCCACGAACAGTAGGCATAGACCGGCATCCTTATGTCCGGGCTTGAATCTGGCTCGGGCCACAGATATCACGAACGACTTAATATGACACCACTTTGGGTCGGTTGTCCCGTTGTAGGTGTCGATTTTGAACTTCCCCAGATTGGACATCGTTGTTTCGGAAATTCTTTTGGTGAAAGGCGTATTCCGAGATTCTTCCAAAATTCGGTCGATGTTAGGTGCGGAGGATGAAACGCTATGTATCTGGGTTTTGACGAGCTTCATATCAGCTTCCGCCTTGGCTAGGGAGGCTCGGATCTTGCTGAGCTCGTCTTCTCTTTCGGCTTCTTCGGCCCATCTTATGTTTTCTTCAGTTTCCTCGTCATCAGTGAGGTCGGTTCGTTCGTCAGAGTTAGCTCCAGCTCGGGTACGCTCGTTTTGTGGATCGTCCGGTTCGTCTGTCGGGTCCACTGCGTCTGGCTCGGTGGGATCATCCTGATCCTCGCGTCTGGCGGGATCGGCTCGGGTTGCAGCTCTGGTGTTATCTGTCGGCGTCGCGAACGTGAGTCTCGTCGGGTTGAGGCCAGGAAAGTCCCTCCGGGCTCGTGGCGGTCGAGTCTGGAAACGCGTGGTTTTGTGTTGCCCACGGGATGCGATTTCATCGATTTGCAGCGCCAAGGTCTTGTTAGCTTTCTCTTGATCGTCAGCTTTCTTCTGGAATTTAACCATCATATCCTTCAGTTCGGCTAGGGTCGCCGAGATTGCTGGATCGGCTTGAGGGTTCGGAGGGTTAGGATTGCCTCCTCCGGCTGGTGGTGGTATCTGACGACCGTCCTCGTTCATCGTCTTTTTCGGTGGTTGAGTTCTGCGTTCTTAGGGTAAGAGAATTCTAAAGTATCCCCACAGACGGCGCCAAACTGTGGAAGTCGAAACTAACACAATCGAGATTTGTCTAGGGTTTTAATTTAGGGATACGATATGCGAGAATTCTCAAAGAACAACAGAAACAATTGTAACCAAAGATGGTGTTCTTGATCTTATTAATGAAAAGAACAGTTTTGATCGTACAAGAGTTTGATCGTAAAAGAAGAAGGTGTTTGTGCTGTGAGAGCTTTGTGTAATGTAAGTTCTAGAGCGATATTGCTTCCCCCTTCTGTGTGAGCCTTGAGTCTCTTTATATAGGGGTGATAAACCGCCTCTCTAGCGATATTCTCGGAAGATTTCCATTTATCTTGAAGTCGGCTTAGAATATCGCAGATAAGGATACTTTCCTTATTCTTCGGAGCTTTTGGAAGATTTCCTTATTTGAGGTGATCCTTCGAGATTCTCCTTAATCATTTCCGAGTATTTCGGAAATGATCCCTCTTTGGCGGAAATGATGTTAAGATACTTCAAAGGTATTTATTCACTAAGTCTTTGCTTCGGGTGACGATGAAGACTTCGCCTCGGGGAACTTGTGTAATCGGCTCGGGTACCCCAGGACGACTGGGCTCGGGTACCCCCGAGGTGATGGGCTCGGGTACCCCGGGACGACTGGGCTCGGGTACCCCGAGATGACTTGTTCGGGTACCCCCGAGGTGATGGGCTCGGGTACCCAGAGAAGAATGGGCTCGGGTACCCTGAGCTCTCTGGTAGGGTACCCCGAGCTGTCTGGCAGGGTACCCCGAGCTGTCTGGCAGGGTACCCCGAGCTGTTCGGCAGGGTACCCCGAGCTGGTTAACAGGTTATCTCAGGATGTTTGAAGTTTGGCTCGGTCTCAGGAGGTGGATGGAATCCGACCCCAACAGTGTCTCTGAAGAAATTAGTTTGCTTGGTGAGAATGAGACAATCTATTTTTTTCTGTAGAGGTGAGTATTTACAATCCTTTTTCTTATATGATTAATAAATTATATAATTTCCTTAAAAAAATTATCCTATTTTTAAATCTTTTTTTTGTACAGTTAGTAACTTATAAATAAAACGTTTAGCATTATTTTATAATTTCTATTTTTATGAACAATACACACATAATTTCTTTATATATACATATACTTTCCTTATAATAATCTTTTTATATTATGAAACTCTTTAAATTTATAAATTTGTTATAATTATCTTTTTACAATATTTAATTTGTTAAAACCAAATTTTTGTTTGCCATATGACAAAATCTCTTATGAAAATATAGGTATAATTTCCTTATACTTTTTACATTTAAAACTATTTAAATTTATAATTATCTTTTTTCTTTTTAATTATTAAAAAGGAAATATTTATTTGACATATGGCAAAATCTAAGATCGATAGATTTGACACGTGTCACGATCACGTGAGTTATTAACTTTGAAAACCATACTTTATATAATAAGATATGCATGTAGTCGTTTAAACCTACTATTGGACAATAGTTTAACATTTTATTTGGAAACATTTAAAATTTTTGATGTTCCTTCTATAAAAAAAACAACTAGTTCATGAATCATGAGGAATGAGTTTAGGTTAATGGATACGACGCTATACACTATGTATATGTGTTTTTGAGTGAATGCTAACGTTATTGATTTTTGTTCAAAATAACTCTATGTTCAGATAGTGGTCAAGCTTATCCTACATATGAATTCAAGTTTCTTGAAGGCATCAGTCTCTTAACCAAGTGAGAGAAAAAGAATAGCTGACCATCTCTCAACTGAAACCATATATGTTTAACCAATTGTGATTCTCGGTTAAGTTTGATGCCTCCGGTTTGCATGGACTTTAAATGGTTTTGAATAACTGGGAGAGTCACCAATGTATAAGGTAAATAAATCTAAGCCATACAATAAAACAAAGGCAAGGGAAAATTTAGTGTCGGAGGCAATGCTTTGGTGGAAGATATAGAACACTCATCAGGAACATGGTGATATTTCATTATTGAAAGAAGATGGTGTTTCTTTGATATATGTTGGTAATTCATATTAAGACAATATAGTTCCTCAAAATTAGGAACAGATGATAACATGTGGAACGGCAGTGAAAACTCTTTTGTTGCAAAGACCTAAACAAAACCATTTTAAAACTATTAAACAAGCTTAGAAATATTTGACCCAACAAGAAGTGAAAGCTAACAAATTTTTTGAAAGAATATTACTTCCGGATCAAAGCCAAGACTACGAGAGTCAAAGCCATTCTCTCTAGTTAGTTCTATAAGAAATGAAGAATTCATTTTGCAAAAAAAAAGGAATAAGCAAAATTAGCAAAAAATCTCTAGTTGCAACAAATTAATAAGATGGTTTGTGAATATAACACTAAAATCCAAATCAAGTTTAGCTTCCTCACCAACCAAGAAGCCAAAAAAGTACGAAAATTTAAACTTGTAGTTCTGCTAGTTCTTCTCTTTGACCTCGAGGAACAGGTACCAAACTGGGAATAAATGTATAGTGCGAAGGCCAAAGATCAACCACATAATCTATTTGAGTTTTACTGATCAGCTTATTTTCCCCGAAAACATAGATCCAAGCCCGACCAGTATGATCGCAAGTGCACACCACGAGTCTTTTATCTTCGATGAAGTAACTTGGCTGAGAGTATCTAGGATATACTAAATCCGGCAAGTTAGGACTTGACACTTCCATGAACTTCATCCATTCCACATCTTCACTATCCAAATTATTATCAATCTTGTTCTTGCTCACCCAAACTTCAATCTTCTTTGTTGTATGGCATTGCTTTAACAATGAAAATCGATCTCCCTCAAAAATCTTGAGGACAAGAGCATCTTTATAACAGTTGGTCGTTCCACATGGTAGATCACAAAATATGAAGAACGTTTCGCTGGAGGAATGGAATTCAATTACGCTGTACACGGGATCAATCTTGCCAATAAAAGTAATCCAATACAAATCTCCATTCAACGATACACCACTTGTGGTGTGTAATGTATGCGTTTTCCCTTCCTTAATATTACCAGAATCTAACTCGAGGTCTTTCCACACATTTGAGGCAAAGTCATGAATTGTCCACAATCTCTTGGTGGGGTGTTCCTTCCGACCACAAGCAGCAACGATCTTGTAACTCCCCTTATTGCTGTATCCTATGCCATAGGCTTTCATTCGAGTTTGGTTTAAATCTTGCTCGATCCATTTACTCTGTCTCAAGCAAGGGTTCCAAACAACAACTCCTTTCTCCATGCCACATACCAACAACTTATTGCAATCAATCAACTTTTTAGGTATCTGGGATTCTAAACCAGGAATATCAAAGGTTAACTCACACACCTCTATCTTTGGATCGATGCTTACCGAATAAATCTTGGATTTGGTTGTTAAGATGAATCGATTCGTCGCCTTATGGTTTTTGATGAACGTCTTGTCGTCGAAAAGAGCGTTCCATTGTTTAGAAACGGTTCTTAAGGGAACAAGAGTGTTTGGTGGTACACGAGAAAGTATCTCTTCAGTCAACTCCCATGGAAGCTTCTCCTAATGCGCCATTTAAGTTATCCCAATTAGGGTTTCAAGTCGATTGTTCATTAAGTTAGTGTTATATCTCGTTTGTATAAATAAAAATAGAAAATCTCCAAATATCTAATTTTGTTACCTCTAGATATTACTTAATAACATCTTTTTCTAATTTTACATTTTTAACTCTTTTTTTTAAATAAAGAATCCTTACATTTTTAGTAGTTATAATGAAACAAAATAATATCATAAGATCTCTATTAGACTGTAAGTTTGGATTGATAGACTTTGTTTCACTTTCACGTATAGTGCAAATTCTATCTTCGTTCTTTTGCTACTAATAGTGCATATATATCTTTGGTTCATTGTTCTTCTTCTTACTTGTTTCATTCAAGTCACTTGGTGCTATCGTTTATCCCCTTATTATTAAAAGGGAAGTACAAATTGAAAAATGGTCAAATTTGGCCTCAATTTCAATTTCAATTTTGGATTTTGTTCTTTGTTAATCATAATCGTCAAGGATAATTTGGTCATAAATTTTCATTAAACATTATAGGATCCGTGTGTTAATCATTCGGGTGGGTTAGGAGTAATTACTCTTAATCACGGATTCATGTTCCTAATCGAATTTAGCATCCAAATTATGCAATCTTAACCGTTCAACAATTTTTGTATATTTACCTCATTTTTGGTATCTAAATATGAGCATATTCGATCCCTAATAACTATATATATATATATATTCGATCCCTAATAACTGCACATTTGATCATATATTGCCTAATCGCTCGAAAATCGTATTAACTTATTCTCTTAAATCTAATCCTAACCATAACCAACTCTACAATATTCACCATTTATCTAAATATAGCCAATCATTCAATTTCTATTTCAAATTCGAATATATATTGTTCATAGTATCTTACATTTTATGTTTTTTCTCCAAGATATGACTTATAACCCACAACGGGTGATTTATAACCCACAGCGGGTTAAGCTATTTATTTAGTTTAAAATGATGATGTTCTAAATTTCCATTTATTTTTTTTGTTCTATTATTTGTTATATAAGAAATTAAATTCATAATGTATGTTTATTAGTCAGTTATTAATAAAATCTTTTTTTCAAATCTTAACAATAAATTTAAAATATACATAGATAATAATATATTTATAATCTTATAAATATTCTCAAGATTCAATTTTGTATTTTTGTTATTAACTTTCCCAAAAATAAGGAAATATATTTAAAAACTTTTCAAAAACGAGATTAGATATTAATAAAAATTTATACTCTAATCAATCTAATTTGTTTAAGAAATCTCTATACAAATGTAAATAGTTTCCTACATTTATGTTTTAATGTCGATTTAATATTATAAATATGTACATATATTATAAATACTATCCAAATGTGATCTTACCAAAAAAGATTGTAATCTTTTAGATTTGATTCGATAATTTATTAGATAAGATTATATTTGATTAACCCTAAAATTATAGCCGACTCTCTTAACACTATAAATATAGTATTCTGATTGTGTTATTCTCATATCGTTCAAAATTTCACTACAAATATAAAGTTTTCTCGGCTCTTCTCAAAAAATGGAAATAATTCATTTTCTTTCAATACATATTCTTTATATTAGAATATGATATAAAGAATATGATTTCTATGATTTTTTGTTTTTATTCTTCTATTCAGTGCTTAGTTTTAGATACTAGGTTTGATTATCATCAAGTCTTAGGTTTGGATGTTGATACCCTTTTAATAATCGTATTTTTTGTATTAATTTTTTTTCAATTTTGTTTTATTAAATCTATTCAAATTCTATCATCTTCAATTTATATGTCAAACCCATTCCAATTTTAATTTTTTTTTTCATATAAGGTCTATGAGTGGACAACAATGGCAGGGTGAATGATAAGTCAAAGAGGATATCCGACTGGAGTTAGGGTTTCAATTTTTAATATTTCCTTTAATTTTGATTTTGTTTCTATTTAAAACTTTATGTTTTTTAGCAATATGCTAAAGGTTTAAATATAATAGAAAATTTATCACAGAATTATTCTTTTTGCATTTGAAGTTGTAAAAGAAACAACTTTAAATTTTAATCTGTATTTTATTTGACGGGTTATATATACACAGGTTAATTAGCTTATTTTCATTTGAAATATCAATAAAATCTGAAATCATATAATTTTAATAATAATTCAAACTTATAAAGTCTTCTTTTAAAGATCCACGAAATTCCTGGTCCAAAATTTTTGAATTTACAAAACAGTAAAAATTTAAGATCACAATATTCTCTAGAAGATAAAAATTACTGTTAGACACCTCAAAACTATAATACTTTAAATATATTAAATTTTGATACAAATATATTAAATAATACACATGTTTAACCACATTAAAACACATTATCCTATTTGAAAATTTAACAACCACCAAAAAAAACATATGTTATAATTATAAATTATAAATTATCAAATACTTAATAGGAAAACCGAATAAAACCGATACCCGCGGAGTACCGCGGGTTGAATCCTAGTTACCTTTTAAAAGTTAATACAACAATATTCGTTTAACACAAAATCAAGAATTTGCATAATACTTAATCATTTGACTAAACCTGAGGTTGCAATCACCTCATGTTTTCTTGAGACTAAATAGAACTCCTTAAAATTTTTTATTCCTTGTATTTTTCGTTTCACAAAACTGTAACGCCCCGACCATCCCTACCAGTGACCACCCACGTTCTCTCTCGGGCCCGTGTGCCCATCTCTGTTCCACGGTCGGTCCGCTACGTCTGCGAGGCTTTAAAGACTTTTTTACCGATCCTACAAATCACCACATGATCTTTCCCTATGTTTTATTCTCACTCACACAGTTTCGACAATCACTTCCCGGAAGGTCACTCATCCAGAAATTGCTCCAGCTCAAGCACGCTTAACTATGGAGTTCTCTTAGGACATATAACCGAAAAGATAAGTGCACTTTGGTGACATAGGTGACCAAATCAATTCTTTTAAATCTCTCTGCATGCACCACCATATTCTAGAAACCTGGATTTTACAAAAACAAAATGAAAAAATAATTTATGTAGCTAATAGAATAATGTGCCCCTCCATAGCAGGGGCGTAATAATAGTACATTATTTGGGTTTGACAAATTCACACTCATGGTGAACCAACCTTAATTAATAGGCGAGACAAAATCAAACAAGAAACAGAATAGCTGACCAAGTGAGAGAAAATGAATAGCTGACCATCTCTCAACTGAAACCATATATGTTTAACCAATTGTGATTCTTGGTAAAGTTTGATACCTCCGGTTTGCATGGACTTTAAATGGTTTTGAAAAACTGGGTTTATCATTACTATTAATATTGGAATATTGAATTACGAGACTCACCAATGTATAAGGTAATTAAATAAAGTATAAGAGCCAAATTTAGTGTCGGGGTCAAATATAGAACACTCAGGAACATGGTGATATTTCATTATTGAAAGAAGATGGTGTTTCTTTGATATATGTTGGTAATTCATATTAAGACAATATCGTTCCTCAAAATTAGGAACAGATGATAACATGTGGAACAGCAGTGAAAAACTCTTTTGTTGCAAAGACCCAAACAAAACCATTTTAAAACTATTAAACAAGTTTAGAAATATTTGACCCAACAAGAAGTGAAAGCTAACAAATTTTTCGAAAGAATATTACTTCCGGATCAAAGCCAGGACTACGAGAGTCAAAGCCATTCTCTCTAGTTTGTTCTATATGAAATTAAGAATTCATTTTGCAAAAAAAGAGAAGAAGAAGCAAAATTAGCAAAAATCTCTAGTTGCAACAAATAAGATAGTTTGTGAATAAAAAAAACTAAAATCCTAATCAAATTTAGCTTTCTCACCAACCAAGAAGCCAAAAAAGTACGAAAATTTAAGCTTGTAGTTCTGCTAGTTCTTCTCTTTGACCTCGAGGAACAGGTACCAAACTGGGAATAAATGTAGAGTGCGAAGGCCAAGGATCAACCACATAATCTATTTGAGTTTTACTGATCAGCTTATTTTCCCCGAAAACATAGATCCAAGCCCGACCAGTATGATCGCAAGTGCACACCACTAGCCTTTTATTTTCGATGAAGTAACTTGGCTGAGAGTATCTAGGGTATACTAAATCCGGCAAGTTAGGACTTGACACTTCCATGAACTTTATCCATTCCACATCTTCACTATCCAAATTATTATCAATCTTGTTCTTGCTCACCCAAACTTCAATCTTCTTTGTTGTATGGCATTGCTTTAACAATGAAAATCGATCTCCCTCAAAAATCTTGAGGACAAGAGCATCTTTATAACAGTTGGTCGTTCCACATGGTAGATCACAAAATATGAAGAACGTTTCGCTGGAGGAATGGAATTCAATTACGCTGTACACGGGATCAATCTTGCCAATAAAAGTAATCCAATACAAATTTCCATTCAACGATACACCACTTGTGGTGTGTAATGTATGCGTTTTCCCTTCCTTAATATTACCAGAATCTAACTCGAGGTCTTTCCACACATTTGAGGCAAAGTCATGAATTGTCCACAATCTCTTGGTGGGGTGTTCCTTCCGACCACAAGCAGCAACGATCTTGTAACTCCCCTTATTGTTGTATCCTATGCCATAGGCTTTCATTCGAGTTTGGTTTAAATCTTGCCCGATCCATCTACTCTGTCTCAAGCAAGGGTTCCAAACAACAATTCCTTTCTCCATGCCACATAGCAACAACTTATCGCAATCAATCAAGTATCTAGGTATCTGGGATTCTAAACCGGGAATATCAAAGGTTAACTCACACAGCTCTATCTTTGGATCGATGCTTACCGAATAAATCTTGGATTTGGTTGTTAAGATGAATCGATTCTTCGTCTTATGGTTTTTGATGAACGTCTTGTCGTTGAAGAGAGCGTTCCAATGTTTAGAAACGGTTCTTAAGGGAACAAGAGTGTTTGGTGGTACACGAGAAAGTATCTCTTCAGTCAACTCCCATGGAAGCTTCTCCTCATGCGCCATTTAAGTTATCCCAATTAGGGTTTCAAGTCGATTGTTCACTAAGTTAGAGTTATATCTCGTTTTTATATAAATAAAAATAGAAAATCTCCAAATATCTAATTTTGTTACGTCTAGATATTACTTAATAACATCTGTTTCTAATTTTACATTTTTTAACTTTTTTTTTTAAATAAAGAATCCTTACATTTTTAGTATTTATAATGAAACAAAATAATATCATTTTTTTTTTTTTTTTTTTTTTTTTTTTTTTTTAACAAGCAAAACAAGAGCTCTATAGAAAGTGAGAAACGAGGGTTTTCAAGATCTTTCTTCTTCCTCTTTGTTATTTTGGAATTTTTGTTTTTATTGTGTGTAAAACCTGGTGAGAAAAAAAACCAAAGACATCACAAGTTAGCGATATAGTGAAGCTTGGGAGCAAGAGTCCTCCTCCGAGACGTAGGGGTTAGCCGTGAACTCGGTTATCAAATTCTTGTGTTAATTTGTGTCTTTTAAAAACAACTGCTATTCTCAGTTTTCTCTACAGGCATGTGCATAACAAAATCTTAAAACAATATATTCAACCAAATCTTTGATTATTCAACTTTGACAAGACAAAAAAAAAAAAGACTTTTGATTGTTTAAAATAATTTTCCAAGTCAATGGTCAACTTCAATATTTTCAAGAGAAACAAACAAATCCACCGATTAAATATCATCTAGGCCCCTTCTCTTAAAATATCATGCCAATCATCCCATGACAGTATTGGAGGACAATTTCGTATATTCCACATCTCCGAGCGACTCAACATCTTTGCTTTGGAGGCTCTTACATTGGAAATAGACAACGGTGTAAGTCACAAGCTGAAACATCCTCAGCGCAAAGTCCAAACACACAAAGACTAAACCAGTGGCTAAGGTAACCGAGAACGATCTTCTCCAATTTATCAGCTGCAAGATTTGACCTAATCCGAATGTCAATAAATGGAAGGAAAGATTCAAGAGAAACATTTTTGGCTTCATCCCTTTAGCAATCTTTGCAGCTTTCCTTAAAGCTTTAACCCCATAAGTTTCCTCTAGTATCGATATGACCATAGATAAATTCCAAACGATAGCTAAATAGGACTCATAGACTTCCAATAGAATCAATAAAGAGACAGACTTGGCTACCAAGAAAAAAAGTTTTGAAGAAAACACTAAGAGAGGACAAAAAATTATAGCGTATAGGAACCCATAGCCAAGAATGAAAAGAGCAATATAGAATTTTGTCACAAGAGGTCCCTTCCAAGATTTAAAGGTCATAACCGGAAAATATTTGATCTTGATGTTTTCATTTTTCAGAGTAAAAGCCGATGCGTGGATGATAACTATAACAGAATAGAGGTTAATAATGGGGGAGACTGGCATGAAGATGTATGGAAAACCCACAAACGTTTTGTCAAACAAGAAAACTAAACAATTGAGTAAGAGGGGGAATACCAAGACTGAAAACATTTTTTTGTTCTTGAGAAACAATTTGCGGGTTTCATGTAGAATACCCAATCCCTCCATTACAACATTCAAGAACTGAAATCGATCCATGATTTCAGAAAGACAAAGGAAAACAAAAGTTCTTGGCTATTGGTTTTTGGTAATGGTAGTGAGTGAGGGTTTATAGGATCAAACCCATATATATAAGCTTAGTGCTATATCTATACTAAAGAGAGTCTTTGGCGTGTTCATTGGGTAGCTTCGGTGATTTGACTGAGTCAAAGTCCAAACGTACCCCACGATAGTATTTAAACTAAAACAAACGAAAGAGGCCAAGACTTAGCCATAATCAAGAACAAAGAAAGTGAAGCATAATGCATTGATGAAAAGTCTAAACGCGATGACTTCCTGACGACGACGTAACTGATTAAAGAGTGAAAACAAAAGCTAGCATCTTCAATAATGCATTTGGCGTTCCTCATCAATTGTACGTGATTAACACTCACTTCATTTATTCTTGTTAAATATATAACTCAAGATACACTGTAGCACTGTGTAAGAAATGAAGCGTTGACATCTATAGAAAAGATACGAGGGAGATATAACAATATATATTAGGTGTTTACAACATAAAACAATATATTATTTTGAGCTTAACCTTGAAACTCGATTTGAGCTAGCTGCCACGATTTTGTCTCATTTCTTGCTAACCGTAATATTTTTAATGGATTTTTATTCACATTTTTAAAGATTTTTTTATTCCTTGCCTTCCAAATATACCAAATTATCCATGGATTTGAAGATGAGTCTATCTCTCAAGGTGTTTTCCAAATTCGCATAAATAGAACCCGAAGAAAAATTCCTTGGGTGGTTAATTGTATGTTTAATTTTTTTCATCTAATGCGGTGCCGCATCTTGTGTCACAATTTATACATTTTTCCGCAAATTTTCCGTGACCGGCACACAACCTGATAATATTTACCACAAAAAATGACGTAACGGGCACTGTACTTTCTAGGTATGTGCTTTGAGTGATTTGATATCTGGACCAACAAAAAGTAAATTGACATCCAAATTTTCTAACCGCGCCGCTGATATCCCGATTTGATTGTCTATTTTCCGTATTTTGTGAAACGTCAACCTAAGGTATCCTCCTTTATTGGCACACCCAAAAGCAGGACACTTATCAGCGGAACATCTTCCAGATCAAAAAACTTTTTCAAGAGATCAATATTCCAAAAATTTGACCGGCTATCTATACTACTACTGTTTTATTTTCAATATTTAGCTTGTTTTATATTGTCCTTTTGGTTTAAATTCGGAAGTGCCGTTCGGTTATTTATGACACAAAGCACATGAAAGTTTCTTGGACCGGGATGATTTGCGGTTAGGCAAGGCGGGATCTTATCAAAAAAGATTTCATCTTCCAAGAGGCAAGTTTCAGAGCTTAAAGATGTGCATCTTAAACTCGACCAAATATGGAATTCAATTTTCTTGAAACTATATGGTCCATTTACAGCAGGATACACGCAGTGATGACTAAAATTATTTAATACTCTAGTCAAAATAAAATCCATACATTTACATATGCTTCTTGTCTTTTTCCTTTTAATATTTGGTGGGCTGCGTCTTTTTCTTTATTAATGTAAATTGGGCTAAGAAAAAAAAGTAGAAAAGAGTAATACTAATAAACAAGATGGGGCAAACGTGAGTAACTCAAAACCCTAATTTTCTACTTACAGAACCTGTGGAGATCACAAGAGAAACAATGATGATGTCTGATCTTCCGGCGGATTTGTTAGAAACTATTTTCAATAGACTCCCGACCACGTCTCTGAAAGGACTACGATCCACTTGCAAACGATGGAACGGTTTAATAAAAAGA